TCTGAAGAAAGGTTAACGGAGTGGGGGAACTGGGCAGAAACCCGAAATCTGTGACAAGGGCCGGACTTTGTTTATTAGCATCATAATGAACTATTAGATTTATTTAAAATATATGTTTAATGGAATTTTGTATTATGAAATAAAATTAACGTAATTTTTTAATATCAAACAGATGCACAACATTTTATGTAAAAAGAAGACATTTTATAGAATATTTCGTTAGCGTTTATTTACTAAGGACTTTTCAGCAAGATACTACAGTAAAATGTTGAAATAGAATATTGTTAATAGAGCAAGTAATGGTACTCATTCTCTACGAGTATTATAAAAAAGCATGTGCGCAGGCGAATACTGCAAATCAAACCTTTTGAGTCAAACATTATATTTTTTCTACGGCTATTACATAATATTAAAAAGTCAAAATGAGAAAATGCTGTTTTGTATTGTAACCTCAGCTTCTTTCTTTAGGAATATTAATTAATATAGAGGATGAGTGAAAATAATCGATTATTTTCGATCAATCCATTGTTTTCAATCTATTTGTTTTTCGTATTTCCTTTAAAATAGACTACTTGATTATCTTTGAAAAATCAAAAATAATCGATTAATTAAAAAGCCAATTAACCGATAAATCAGTGTTTACAAAAAATTATCGTTTATTTTAAATAATCGATTATTTTCAAATAATCCATTTTTTTCGTCCACTGAAACAGATTATTTGATAATCTTTGAAAAATCGAAAATAATCGATTAATTAAAAAGTCGATTAACTGATAAATCGATTTTCAAAAAAAAACCGAATTGTCGATTATTTTAAATAATCGATTATTTTCGATCAATCGATTATTATCAATAATTTATTTTTATTGTATTTCATTTAAAATCGATAATTCGATTATCATTGAAATACCGAAAATAATCGATTAATTAAGAAGACGATTCTACGATAAATCTATTTTCCAAAAAAATAACCGAATTATCGATTATTTTCTAATAATCCTTTTCATATTTCCTTTAAAATTGATTATTCTATTATCTTTGAAAAATCTAAAATAATCGATAAAAATCAATAAATCAAAAATAATTAATAAATATTAAAAAACTGAATCACCGATAAATCGATATTTCTAAAAAATTACCGAAATATTGGTTATATAAAATAACGAATTATATTCGATCAATCAATTATTTTCATATAATACCTTTGAAAATTTGAAAATAATCGATTAATCGAAAATAATAGATTAATCGAAAATAATCGATTAATTAAAACACCGATTTAACGATAAATCGATTTTTCAAAAAAAATCGATTATATTCAATTAATCGATTATTTTGAATAAATCTACTTTCTTTTTGTATTTCCTTTAAAATCGATTATTACATTATCTTGAAATTTTAAGTTATTCATCCTGTATTTTATCTAATATTCTTATAAAAATACTACTAATCAACTATGCTTTTTTACTTCTTATTTATCTACCAAAAAGAGCTAAAAACCACCTTTAGTAAATATTCTTATAAAACTACTTTTTAAAAACAAAATTTCGTTAGCAACAATGTCTATTTATTTCTTATTTAAATTAAATATTTAAAATTTTACCCTTTTGTAAATTTATGTAAGTAATACGAAATCTGTTTTCTGAAATGTATGTGATGAATATTTATTGAAATCCCTTAATACGGATCTGATGTATTCAGCTCAAAGGATTATGGCGCTTTATGTCAAAACGTTAATAAATATTTACCACTGAAAACGAATATATTTTTTATATTTCAAAACACTGGTACTTGTATTATATGTATATACAATTTCTTAAGATACATCGTGACATTTTGAGTTTAAAATTGAATAACTAGAACACTTTAAATTGCTAAAAAAACAACAAATAAATCAAAAACAGCTGTCAATGGTGATTGAAACTCAGGCGGAGGTGAGCGTTGAATGGGAAATCGGAGCAATTCGGGTGGCGTCGTGAAACAATGATTTTCAATTGGTGGGTTACTTGGAGTTAAAACAGACAACATGCGCAGTGTGCAATGTTACATCTTCGGTCTCTTTCATAGAAAAACTAAGACGTCTCTTTTATCTAAGGTAGCGATGAATCTGAATAACAATCTCAAGAGACGTGTTACAATTATGGTGATGATTTGGAGTTATTGAGTGAAATACACACTAATAATATAATCGATTGCAGTACTGTACTGTAATTATAATTGTATTCTTTAGTTTACCTTTTATTATTTATTTAATATTTATTTTATTTGTGTAAGAATTGTATAAAACTAAAAAACTTTAAATAAAAGTCGTTATGTTTTGAAAAATATTAATGTTTTCAATTTTTGATACCCAAATATTGTTCAGGTAGTTAAAATAACTGCAAGATTATAATAATGCTTCTACATGCTATATTAATATAATCCCATAAAGCAAATTTTGATATTTTTTAGAAACCTTACTCAACTGATGTTCCTACTTATAATAGATTCATACTTATACATAGAACATACTACTGACTGGTATTTCTTATTGGCTAACATCACAAAGATTTACAGCTGCTTTTCTGTAGCTACAATTGTTGGAACTTTCAAAGATTCTCCAATTATTTTCAAAATTTGGCAATGGTGTGGAGCTGTAACGGTCTAAAACTTATTACGTCATCGATGACATACATTGGTTTTTTTATTGTGTATAATATAAAGTATATAATAACTCTCTAAAAAAGGGCTCATCCTCCCCAAGTGTATGATTTTTAATGGAAATTGTCTTATCAAAAGAAATATCGGAGGCCTTCGCAGACTATTTTGAATCATGTTAAATTGACCACTCTAATATTAACATTAAAAATACTGTAACTCTACCAATCATCAACAATTTAGTCTCATACCAGTTTTCAGTTAATGATATTTCAGAAAGAATTCTTCAATTAAATTCTAGTAAATCCCCTGGTCCTGACGGAACATCAACTCTATTTTTGAAGAAACGTTACAATTCTCTTGCTGATCCACTGTGTCGTATCTTTCCAGAGTGTTTACACACCAACTAATCTTCAAATATCCTATTCGCTCCGTGCGTAACAGCAGCGCCAATTCATTTATGTACTAACGGACTATTTTTGCGATACTGACAATACACCTCGCACTAACATTTATGAAAAATCGCTAATGTTTTCAACATGTTCTATTTACAATAACTTTTGCAGTGGTTCCGATATCTACTTTGATTTAGTCAGTATCAGTCTCAGACTTAAAACTTATTTGTATATTGTAATTTTTGTATTTTTAAATTTTAATTTTTTTTTCTTTACGTTTTATTATACAGGGTGTCCCAATGAAAAGTAGCCCGTTTCCATTTGATAAAATTTGGTTACGATGAATTTAAAAAAGGAGATTTTTAAAAAACACCCTGTATAGGTAATACATAATTTCTGTGTCACTGATGAAGCAAAACTTATAGCAAAATAACACAGATCAGCAAAACCGCACGTTTCTGCGATTTGTTTGAAAGTTATAAGCTCTGGAAATGGGCTACTTTTCATTGGGACACCCTGTATTTCTATTTTTTATATTTCTAGCATTACCTATTAAATTGTTCTGAAATTAGGATTTTCCTGTTGAACAATAAATGGTTTTTTGTTTGTTTTTGCCTTGATTATATTATTATTCTACTCTTCACACAGTAATCTGTTAAGAGTATTATAGGTTTACTGTATCCAATATCACGTTTTTTGTCTGCACGACAAGTCAAAAACGAAAAATGACATTAACTTAAAAATTTTAAGCAAAAATCAAGCTCTATTAGGGGACAAAGCCTATTGATTTTGAAAAAAATCTGATTAAAAATAGTGTTAAGATGGGTTGAAATTAAAAAAAACAAGGAATATATCAATTTTTCAAAAAATCCAAAATAAGTACGAATAAAAGGAGCGACAATTAAAACACGACATTCAACTTGTTAGCATTTTATTAAAAGTATTGGCAAGTAGGTGAAACATAGGTATACAGTACAAGAGTATAAAGATATAAGCTATAGTATAAATTTTTTTGCAATATCAAACACACGATATAGTTAACTCGTAATACCAGTAAGCAGAGCTAAGCTCGTGTTTATTAATTTTCTGACTGTATTTGTGTTTCATCGACTAATGCTTTAAATATACAGTAATAAAGAAATGTATTAACGAGGAAGATGATAATTATTATAACCTAAATGTGAATAAATCACTGTAGTTTGTATGTTTATGAACGTAGCTTTGCTTTTTAACATACAAGTTAATTTGTCGATGATATTTTGACAGAAAGATACACATTTTGTTAGAGAAAAAAAAATGTGTGCCTAACTGTGTTTTTATAAACTGACTTGGGCAAAAAGTTTTCCCAACACTTTCTGTCCACACCAGTTCCTATAAGCTACTGACATACAATCACAGTTTTTATTTGGTAGTATCACAAAATATTCCCAGTATTTTTGTTACCACCAAACTTAATTTTTGATAAAATTAAGTGAAGCGGAGTAAATGCCGATTACGACCTACTTCTAAGCTTGTGCTCTAATTTAAATTGTGCAATATACACTATAAAGAATTCACTACAGTATATTTGTACGATTATATTATTGTGAACTTCGAATGAAAAATGAGAGGAGAATTTACAGTTATTGTACAGATACCTAATTTTGATTTAAGAGGATGTGATGACTGGGCAAATTGGTTACCTTTCTGGTCCCTAACATCACTTGTTACTACCGAAGTAATAAATGGGTTTTTAATAAATAGAGCTTGAAATATATAGTACCGTGATGTACTCTAATTATTTGAAAATCCCATACTGGCAAAACAAGTATTCTCATAAACGGTAAAAACTCAAGCTGATAGAATCCCAAATATCTAATAAATGTTCCTGAACATTACAATTTATCGTTTATGAAAATAACTTAATTTTTAAAGAGGACTACATAACTCTTAAACTATAGTATAATTATAATTCGCGAAGCCTAGCCGTTATGCTTTGGGTTCTTGAATTTCGACTGTAACGCTTTCCAACATCGGTGTGGTAACAGAGTTCATGTTCGGTGGTTGAGGAGGACTCTTGCTCGACTTCATGGATGCTCCAGAAACGTTGCTGCTGCCTCTGGATCCTCGACGTGACCCTAGAAACAAACGCCCTATGGAGGGATGGTACGGTAATTTCATTTGTGCAAAAAGTTGACGTGCTAACTACAACATCGAATTTTAATTCAATATAATTATTATCAATGCGCTAGTTTTTAAACACAATAAAACGTTTAATTATTTCAGATGATTAAGTACCTATTAAACAGTTAAGAACGGAAACAAAATAAGAACAAAGTCTGTCAACAAAAAATACTGAAAATTATTTTCAATTTTTCTATTTTAACCGTTAGAGGGCGTAATTCGTTATGGTAATGCCAAAAGATCACTTTTCCCCTTTAAATGTCCAATAATAGCATGATCATTTGATAATAATACAAGAACGGTAATATTAAGTAAATTTTACAAAAGTTTTATTATGAAAAACTTAGTATCGATTAAAAGCAAATTGTCTAGTAAAATATTTCAATATAGTTCTGTTTTAGTTGTTTAAACGAGCACTAGGTGACTAAGTGACGTTATTTAAACAGTAACCATTTTTTCGAAGTTTTCTTGAACATTTTAAATGGAATGTTATAATTTTGATATATTATTTAGAAACAAAATTCAATTCTGACAGGAAACAGTGAAAACCGAGTCTTATTATCCTTTTCCTAACGGAATATATGCAAAAGTCTATGATGGTCAATAGTCCACCTAGATATTAATAAATAAAATTCTTTATATCGTCGTTGATTTTGCAATACCTGAAATGTGCACATTATGGCGAATTTTTGGTTTGGTTGTATTCGAGCTATATTAACGTTAGTGCATCGGTTAGCACATAATGTTGCCAAGCCTTTCGGCGATGTTGCATTAAGGGAACATAATAACATTACTATACAACGTAAATGCAACGTTCATGAGAAGTTGTTGAGGGAAATCAAAACCTCGCAAAACTTCTATTTGTTATTTACCTAGTTAACCTACCTGTTATGTTAACACAACGTAATAAAGTAATTTGCTAAAATAGTATCCACGAGAAGTACCGTGAACATCACAATTCTGAATTCGGAACGTTTATGTTTATGTCAATTGTCAGTTTTTCTTGTCATTTGTCTTGTCTTTTTTGATGGTTTATTTTTTGACTTCCAGAATTTATTTTATAAATAATTATTATTTAAACATTCGAGTAGATTTGGTAAGGGTCCTCTATAAAATAGAAAACTATTTTCTAAACCATTGTCTTTGTTTCAGATTACAATGCCTGATGTAAATTTATTATTTCATTATTAGGTATACAAAATGGTTTAACTACAATAAAAACAAAGAATTTCAGATAAATCGTTGTAAACGATAAGATAAACATTTAACCGAATGTCCAGTAACATTTTACACCAAATACTTATAAAAGGTAATTATACTTAATCGAACTAAAAATACATTTTAAAATATTATATTTTAGGTTTCCTTTGACATTCTAGGAATTTTAGAAGCAAAAGTAAATACTACAGAATTGTCTAAAGGAGAATATATAACACCTGAAATTTTATAAAAAGTGAATCTATAGGTACTTGGTATGTCAGGTATATCAGAATTCAAGCAGTTCATTATCTTCAGCAGGCTAGATGTGCCTGGAAATGTAACCATCAGTTCAAGTGCAAACCAAGAAGAAAAGTTGAGAGAAATCAAAGATGATGCTCTCGAGTATAATAAAATATTTTGCTAAAAAACACGAGTTGGTTTTTATAAAATATGCATATATCTACCTTGAAAATCAAGCATAAAATTTGTAAAATTCAAACAAATTTCAATACAGTAACATTGGTTGTTTTATTTAAAACAACAAAGTAAGGCATATTTTTTAATTTCTATATAATTTCCTTTAATAATAGTTAAACAAGTTGTCAATTTCTTTTTTATTCAATGTATTGAGAAGTAAAATCTTTTTATATAAAAATATAATTTATGCTCTTCTAATAAATTGTCATATTTAGGTTACATTATAGCGTTTTATAAATATCTATACAAAAAAAGTTTAAAGGCTTGATTTAAAAAAGATGATATATCTCTGCGTCTAGAGGTAAGAAATTAGGGAACTTAGCTATCCTCTAGTAATCTAATATTATTATTATTCACCAATCTACCTTTATCATCGTTCGGTTCCCGGAAAATTGGACTAAAACAAATGGTCTAAAACAATTGATCTAATCTCAATTGGTCTAAACACAGTTGATCTAAAATACATTTGGTCTAAATACATTTGATCTAAATCACTTATTATCTAAAACACATAATATGATCTAAAACACATTTGGTCTAAATACATTTGGTCTAAATCACTTATTTTCTAAAACACATTTGATTTAATTTTTTGTTATCTAATTGCAATGGCTCTGAAATACCTTTGTTCTAGAACGTTAGAACATTATAAAAATAATATAAATCTGTTGAGCATGCAGTTCTATACCGATTATTGCTAACTCTTCGATGTTGTAATAAAAACAAATTTAGCCAAATTTAACAATAAAATTATTGATGTTAAACTGAAATAAATATCGTTGGACAGATTAGCGCTAAATAGCTTTTTTTATTATTAAATTAAAAACAAAAAATAAACTAATTTACCTAACCGGTACGACTTGAAGCGCTATTTTTGGCCTTGGCATTAGGGGTTTAAATTTACTCGTAAGGGGGTGAATTGGGGGTGAATTTTATTAATTATTATTATTTTAAAATATCAATTTAATCTAAAAAATACCTGGCTTTGAACTGGTATAAAAGGGCACCCAGTATAGTAAAAATTTTAAGTGAATACTGTCAAATTAGTAGTTATCGTAGTTACATACCAAAAATTTAGTAGTTACCATGTATAAATTTACCAAACGATTTTACAACATTAAAGCTTTGACATTTAATCAGACATAATTATTGAATGTGTAAAATATGGATTCATTATTGAGCGAGAAAGGGAGAAAAATATTGTATTTCGAAGGTTTTCATTATTATAAAAATCGCCAAACTCCAACTGCGACCTACTGGAAATGCCACAATTTCAAATTTGGTTGTAAAGGAAGAGTTATAGAAGAAAATAAAAAATGCATACAATCGAAAGATCATAATCATCCCGGGGAACCAGAAAAAGTTGAAATAAAAAAGTCACTGCAGGATATCCAAGAAAAAGCAAAATCATCTGTACAAACTCCGCAATCAATTATAGCAACTGCATTGGACTCTTGTAGCGTCAAAGGTCTAGCTAATTTACCTTCTATCAGTAGTATGAAAAGAACAATAAGAAATATCAGGGCGAGAGAAAATAATTTTCCTGCTCATCCTTCTGGTTTGGAAGCTCTTAAAATACCAGAAGAATATCAGCTTACAGTGAAAGGTACCACATTCTTGCTTTTTGATTCTGGACCGGAACCCGAGCGTTTTGTTATATTTGGATCAGGAGAATGTCTAAATGTGTTATCAAATTCATCTATTTGGTATATGGATGGAACTTTCCACCACTATTTGCACAATTTTTTTCTATACATGGAGAAATAGGGCAAATTGTAGTTCCATGCATTTATATGCTTTTAGCAAACAAAACAGAAAAAATGTATAAAAGAGTTTTACAAAAGGTGAACGAAGTGGTTATTCAGAAAAACGTCAAAATTAATATAACCGATTTTGAAATGGCCTTAAAAACTTGATTCAAATAATATTTCCCAATGTTTTGCATAAGGGCTGCTACTTCCATTTCTCCCAGAAATATACAAAATAAGGGATTGAAACATTTGTATGATACAGATCCAGATTTATCAAGCTCTATTAAGTTATTCAAAGCTCTTGCATTTATACCAGTTACACTCGTAGATAGAGCGTTTGCTTTGTTATGTAACCGCGACGACCTGATTACAGAAGAGGCTAGAAGATTTATTGAATATTTTCAAAATACTTGGGTTAGAAGAAAAAACAATGCTCCACCTATTTATCCTCAGATGCTTTGGAACAGTTTTGATTCGATTCAAAGGAACTTGCCTACTACTAACAATCATATTGAGGGATGGCACTCTTCCCTAAAAAAACAATTTGATGCAAAACAGCCATCTCTGTGGCAATTTATTAAATCACTTCGAAGGAACAAACCATAACAGAGATTAAAATAATAAAAGAACAGACTCAAGATGGCAACAACGTCAAGAAAAAATATAAGGATACTAAACAACGTATTAGAAGAATAGTGCTAAGCTGTGATTTTAATGAATTAGACGATGAACAGTTGGTAGCAATATTACAAAGAATTTCATTTAGTTGCCTCTTTTTTTAACTTAAGATTTTTGTTCTTATTAGTTGATGCCTTTACTTACATCTTGTCTTATTAATATTATTATAATTTATATTGTTTTTTTTTTCATGTACATATTTTGCTGTTTTCGATTATTGATTTCCTTTGATTTTGTAAATACTTTAATCCAATTTTATGTTATATTAAATTTGATCTAGTTTGCATTTTTTGACATTTATTTAATTATCTAAAATATAAAAATTTCCTTTTTTAGTAATTATAATCACATACTTTGATTTTCTTTTACTATACGGAGAATGGTCGCACTGCGCAGCTTTCTGAGTGCATTTTGATCCCTTATTAGGTGTTGCCTACATCTTGGCGCAATCTTTTTAAGAGGTGCGTTTTAATCATCTGCTTCTGCTTTGGAATTGTCAGTTTTCTTGTTTTAATCTGACAGGTTAAAACCAATGAACTGGAGTGGGGTAGAATGCTTGTCAATAGGCTTGAGATGCGACTCTATGGGCGAAGACAGGTTATTTTTCATCTCACTCGGGAGTATTTATAACGACCATTTCCTATTTCATTTTGTTATTGTCTGATCCACCAGCCTGTGGATTGAACAATAACAATGTGAAACAGAAAATAGTTATTATAAATACTCCCGAGTGAGATGAGAAATAAAAATGGCTGCGCCCATAGAGTCGCATCTTGTTCAATTGATAAAATATGCACATTAGCTTTCTACCCCACTCCAGTTCATTGGTTAAAACACATACTTTGATTACTATACGGGGCAAG